TTTGAAAACAGTTCTGATCTACACTCCATCTGTTGGAGTTACTACGACTTCCACATGCCTGAGTGGTTGGACTGAATGTTCTCAACAGACTTTCAGATTCAGATCAGGCCCAGAACGCTGCTGAATGTCAACAGGGAGTTCCTTACTGCACTTGCGAAAAGCACTATCCAAATGAGCCAAAGAGTAATTAAGAGCAACACAACGAGAAATTCTCTGGAAGTTGCGCTAGTAAAGCTAGAAATTGAATTATAAATCCTACTGACAGCTAAATAACAAAGTCTCAAAGTAGCAGCTGCCTGATGAATGTAAGCGTTCACTGCCTCATACCAGACCCTTCTGTATCACAGCATGCCTATTCAGACAGCTCACACAGCCTAACACCACACACTTTTCTGCTCAAGCCTCACTCTAAAATAGAAGTCCAGCATGCTTCACTGATAACACGCTTCGGATGATGTGGCAGCAATCTCACCAAGGCAGGAGTTTTTGATTCAGGAGAACTACCCACCAAACACGTCATGCTAAGCCTATTTCTGGGAAAAAGGATAACTATGACTAGAACACAGTTCTACAAGCAAAAACAAAGGCAAAAGATGATTCAAAAAACAAAGCTTTCTTCCTGAAAATGTGATTCCTGTCTTTTTTTGTGCAACATTTCCTTTGGTCTGATTTTATGCAGAGGTTGCACCAATACGGGATTGGCGGGGGATTCTGATATCCAATATTTTTCATATACAAAGCAAATTTATAAATATATACAAAATGTAGAAACTGGGACTATATTCACTAATTAGCATTACAGACAAATAAACTTTGTCATATGAAGGGGGAACTTGTGTGTCAGCATTTCGCTACTACAGACTAATGTCACTCTAAAGGCAGTTTGGGCTTCAAAATTGGTGCTGCAGCCGCTTTCGGTGCAACAGTTTTCATGTGTAGAGGGTTACAAATGCAGCGTTTCATGAACATTCTGTTCTTCCAAAGTACAATAAGAACATTATCGAATATTGATTTGAAATATGGTTAAGCAGGCAGTATGAGGATATTTTATCAATATCCTGATGAATTTTGTTAGCATGATTTTAAGAGCATATTTCTTACATGATACATGATACTAGGGTATTTTTGAAATATATTGCGATGTTACTTACTACTTCTTACTACTGTTAAAGTCAACACTACCCAGAACTAGCTATAATGAAATATCATGATATGAAGAACTATTTTTGGAAATAAATCTGAAATCCAGAACAATATTGCAACTTAGGCTATTGATCTGATGAAGAGTATCACAGTTTTACTACATGCTTGTGGACACTATCAGTGCAGTACTGCAAAACAGATATTGAGTTGAGCTTTTCCAGCCTAATTTGTGCTCTTCCTGAGAACTGACTACACCGGATAACAACACTGAACCATTGTTTTGCTATCCGGTGTCGCCCAGAGGAGGATGGGGTCCCCTTTTGAGTCTCTCAAGGTTTCTTCCTCTTGCGCTTAGGGAGGTTTTCCTTGCCACTGGCTTGTTCATGGGGGCTTGGACATGGATTTCTCTGTAGAGCTTCTTTGCAATAATGCCTGTTGTAAAAAGTGCTATATAAACAAACTTTGACTTGACTTGACTAACTGATTTAAGTCCTACAGACCAGCAGCAATGTTCTAAATCTACAAGTCTAAAGCATTGTTCTGCTTTTGTGGTCTTGAGAAAAGCTGAGATAAATGTCAGGAAATGGGGTCAAAGGTCAAATGCCTATCATTCCTTTAGCTACTAGACCCTAAAAAGCTATACTCAACACTGATAAATGTATCTACTTACACAGAGGTAAATCTCCCACAAACACTTATCAGTTGCTTTGTCTTCTGCTGCAGCAGGTAAAGGTGCACACTGTGTGTGTGTGTGTGAAGGAGGAGCGTCATCAATGGGTCAGGAGTGACCTAATTTCCATGTTTGAGCCAGAAAGAGGTAAGCGATACCTGATACCTGTCCAATAGGTGCCACACACACACACACACACAATACTCTGTGACCTAATACACTGAATTAGTGTCCTGCGTAACCCATTTTAAACATTTCCATTCGTACAGCTCTAAAGAAACAATCCTGACTCAACATGTTTTCTAATAATAAATAAAACTAATCTAAAAAATAAAGTACTGTGCAAAAGTCAGAGACCACCCTTCCTTTATTCCATTTCCAGTCAAAACATCCATTAACTACAAGTTATTATTATTCAGCTACAGGAAAAAAAGCAGAAAATAAATAAAAAACAGAAAATTACCCAGAAGCCTCAATAACTAAACATAATATATTTGATTTCAGTATTTAGTATGTCCACGCTTGGCCTTTATTATAGCTTCCATTCCGTCCATGAGACTTGCTTTCATGAGAGTTTTTTTTTTCACACCTCCAAAGTTCAGTCTTAGTAGTTGGTTGCATTAGTTTCTCACAATCCAAGTAATCCCAAACACACTCAGCGATGTTGAGGTCTGGGTCCTGGCATGGGCAGTCCATTGTTTTCCAAACATTACAGCTTCTTTATTTGATAAGTTAACAAGTAAATGTAGTCTAGTATTAGTAGACTTAGTTCAGTATTTTTGTCTACTTCATTTACTAAGTAAGAGTTTTTTGACAGCTTCAGTCCTTTAAGACTCATAGAATTGAGTTGTCTTCTCACAGTGGAAGGAAGGACAGAAATACCTGTGGAATTTTTCAGATCTGAAGCAGCTTGATTTTCTCCTCTCTCTCAAAGATGAAAGCTATCGATGCTGTTTATCTGATGGTGAGAGTTTTGATAGTCTATCAGGCCTTGTCTGATTGTCCCATAGTTTATATATCTTTTAATGCTAATACTAATAATAATTTCAGTTTTAGAAACTCATTTCACTCATTTTCCTTTACAATTCCCATCCTTATGTAACCGTATCTTATTTCCAATCTCATCAGAAGTGTATCCTGAAAAATGAATAACCTGAGGACCGTTTTAACTGCAAATGAAATAATTGAAGGATGCTCTCTGAATTTTGCAGTGTTGTACATCCTGAGAAAAATTATCAGAAAGTGCTTTACACTAAATAACTGGGTCTCTAAGCCAAACAAACTGTGGAAACTTCCCTTCTGAAGCTTAAATGGGCTGTATGTTATCACCACACTGGGCTCTACACACCCATAAAACATGACGATATTTTCCCAACAGGCTCAATAATCACACATTTAGATGCTTCCTTCTCCAAACAAAACTACTGAAGTCTACTGGGAGCTGCAATTGCGGAAGCAAATAATTATTCGTACAAAAAGCTTTGCAATAACCATCTTGTAATCACATTAAGAACTTATAAGCATGGTTATCTGCACTCGTGATAGCTGGTTTGTGCATTCAGAGCTCCATCTATGAAAAGAAAATGCCATCATATTCTTACATACTTTATGATTAGGAATGTGTAAACAGATGACCACTAGCCACAGAGAAAAGCAGCTAAACTAGTAGTGTCAAGGCAAAGTAGTAAGGCTGCAAACCATGGCTTCTCTCCAACACTGTCTGGTATTTCCTGATGTTCTGGATTAAATATCAAGTAGACCTCATCACCTAAAAGGACTCTCACCTGCTTTCCCACATTCTCTTTGTGTCTGAAACCTTTCCTCAAATATATGTACAGCAAACAATGCAGCCTGTGATACAATGGAAATATTATAGCATATGGACACAGGAAAAGTGTCTTGTTTACATAGCTGATATGTCTGATATATAGAGACACTACCTGCCTGTACTAATCCAATACATATCCTCCTACATATTGGAGCTTTGAATGCTGCAGAGGTGCATGGGTGTGTTATGAGTGCAATATAATAATAACCTTGATGATAAATTAACATCCAATGTCATGGTGATGGTCAACATACATAAAAGCTTCTACACTTTCACCACCAAATTTCTGCTACAGTTTACTACGTTCCTCTTTATTCTTTTGTAGAAATCTAGAAAAAGTGTTAAACAGCTTTGTAAAGACTCAAACATGAAATGATACAATTGTGAGGAGTTTTTCTGTGCATTAAAACTGTCTTAATTCTTGATTTTCAAACCTGAGATTTCAACTTCAACATGCAGCAAAAGCAGAAGTACAATACAAGATCTGTGCTGAGTCTGACACCAAACACTAAAGGAATGGTTCAGCGAAAAATCATCAACTGTTCACTTACACTAGATGTGGTCGATCAGCCAAGACACGTTTGGTGTCCAAATTTTGCTTCTTTAGTTTAGAGCTGGAGCAAATGTGCATAAATACATGTCCAACATTTCAGCTACACGGTGAGGTTTGGTTCATTTTTATAGCTTACAGTAAGTCACCCTGTGCTCAAAGCTACAGTCTGTGGAAGCTTAATGAAGACATGGATGCAGTTTAAGCGAGCTGAGATAACTTTTGGGATATGTTAACTGAAAACATTTGGGTGACTATTGACTTCTAGTGTTTGTCAGCAACATTGGTTTTGTAGCTCAAGCACTAAACTAAATAGGCAAACTCTGGACACCAAACATGTCTTGGCTCATTATCTACATTTGGTGTAAGCTGGAAAATGACCAAATTTGATTTTTTGCTTAACTATTTATTTAATTACAACTTTGTGAAACTTTCATTTTACTTTCATGTTTTTCAGTTTTAAAAGTGAAAGACCCCAAATAAAACAGGTGTTGAAGACAAAGTTTTATATTTTGATAAACTGTAAAAAAAAAAATCATTTTTGAAAATGTTTTTGCATTTATATTATTACAAGGCAACTGGTGGTCATCAATGAGCGTAAAATCAGATGAAATAGGGGGGCATAAATGGGTTAAGGGTCAGTCAAACAGTTTAATCATTGCTAGTCCAATCGTATGTTGTCTAACAATATTGGGCCAATAAAGCGTAATAAAATGTAGTGTCCAGGATATAATGATATTATGATGAGCTGCAGCTGAACTGACAGATTTTCGCCTGTATCTACACATGTGGTCCCCCGTGTTTCATACCTGTGCTGGGGGACTGAGCTCCAGCTAGGCGCGGTATGGACGCAGCCTTTTCGGCCAACCGCTGCTGGACCTGCTGCTGAACCCGCCTGGCTCTGGTCAGCTGATCCGCGCCGAGCTGCTGGTCGGACGGCACTGCGTAAGTGGTGACCGACGTGGGGGGCTGTAAGGCGGAGAAAAAGAGGCCCTCAGTGGCGCTCATCGTTTAACTGGTGAAACTCGCTACACTCCAGCAATGAGCGGGTCCAAAATACTCCTCAGCAACAAAAGGAAAAACACCTCAAAAAACGAGTCCGTTGAGCAAAAACTGTTTTCGTCGGTAAGAAAAACGAGCAGCAAAGAAAAACTGGGCTAACTTAATAAAGCTACACTGAAACAAACTCGAGCTGAAAGCAGCGAGCTCCTCGTTCACGTCTGCAGCTCTGGTTATTGCCATCAACAGCACAGAGACAATAAGGACTGTGGGCGGGGCTTGAGGTGGAGTGTGGGCGTGACCTCCGCCCTCCATAGACTCATCTCAAACTGAGATAACTTTTTACACAATACAGTTATTCAGTAACGGAAGCGTTTCATACTTACGTGAACTGCGATGACTGTCCTCAGTAGACTAACGTAAGCTAACCTTAACAACACACTTAGGAGAACATTTTAGAACTTAGAACTATGTTCACAGCAGCCTAGTTTCTTAGCACCCACCATTACAGAACACTTGCTTCTCTTTTCTTCTCTTCTTGAGTCTAAGAACGAAACTTTCTTCTCCTTTTTCCGCGCTCCTTTCTCCAGTTTTTCGCTGCTTAGTCTCTCTTGCTTTGTGTCTGAGCTGGCTGATTTGTCAAAGGGGTGAGAATAGCCGAAACTTATAAAGTCAGAGACACTCCACCCAGCAGAGCCTTACCTCACATCCCCTTCAAATCCTTCTATTATTAATCCCAGAACATAAGGGGAGGGGGGGCAGAAATACGTCAAAAAAAGGAGTCAAACTCTGCAGAAAAACTCCACCCCAAGGTGGGGATGGGAAAACGTGGAAAGTTAGCCAAAAATGCTGCAACAAGCTAAGAGTCATATCACTGTAATGTTTCAACGCTTAATGTAGTGTTTTCCCCCAGTCGTTCAGGCACCCTTCAACTTCAAAACTGTCTTCCATTAAATGTCCTTCATTCCCAACAGTTCTGAGGCTTTATCTGTTCCAAAGCAGAAGAAAGAAGCCTTTGTTCAGGATAAAGGGCCGCTAAGTGGACCCCATACTCAACTGTGAGGTCAGACACACCCTGCACATCAGTGCAGCAAGTCACTGAAGCAGTGACCATTCACCATTCTCTACAAACCCTTTTGTATTATTCATAACCATGAGAACTTGTTTCATAAGAATCAGTCTCATTGGAGTTCATTTTAGGGCCAAAGTTTGCCTCAGAGCACGCTCTTCTCTGGAAATGAAACGTGCATTCTCAGCAGAGATGGATAAAGCAGCCAAACGCTCTGCTCAACTGAAAGTATTCTTTCTTCATCGAAATACAGTCTCAAGTAGAACTAAAAGTAGCCTAGCTAAAAAAAAGTGAGGAGGAAAAATATATCAGGTCATAAATCCCAATAAAAGTTCCCAATAAAACTTCAGTGGATTTCAGTTTACTACATTAAGCATCTCTCAGCATAGGAACCAGTGATTTTAGGTGCAGTTCTTCTGTTTTTGGGATTGTTTCGTGGCAAATAAAATTATAAAGCTCCAAAGTGAGCAACAGCAAAGAAGTGCAAGTGCCGAACAGAACAAAATTAATACCACCGCCAAAACAACTATGAGCTAAATGTGAATGACAAACTGAGACAAAATGTTTAAGTATAAATAAACATATCATTTGAAGTACAAATTCACCACAATTGTACTTAAGTACATACAATTAAGTAAACATAAACAGATACTACCAACCTCTGATATCAGTAAAATGTTTTAAAAGCTCAGAATATATTAACCTAATGGCCAAAGCCTCAGTAACTTCAGATGTTGATAGATCCTCTTTGAGTTACTGTTTTTGGACTTCATTTGAAATACTTCTAGTCATAACCGCTCAAAATAATACACTAAAACAGAATTCCATATATTCTCAATGTGGTGTGATGTAAAATGCATTTATTTTGCATTGAGAATATATAAATATATATATATATGAGTGTAGTATTTCTTTACAGTGGTGGTGACAGAAACCAGGGCTCATGATAATACAGCTCTATTCAACATGACCAGTGTACCTACAAGTCCTGTTTTTCTAGTAATAATGATAAAATAATGATAAAATAGTGCTAAATCTAGAATGTATATGTATGTGTGTGTATATAGACACCAATCAGGCATAACATTATGATCACCTCCTTGTTTCTACACTCATTGTCCATTTTATCAGCTCCACTTACTATATAGGTGCATTTTGTAGTTCTACAATTACAGACTGTAGTCCGTCTGTTTCTCTGCATACTTTGTTAGCCCCCTTTTACCCTGTTCTTCAGTGGTCAGGACCCCCATGGACCCTCACAGAGCAGGTACTATTTGGGTGGTGGATCATTCTCAGCACTGCAGTAACACTGATTTGGTGATGGTGGTGTGTTAGTGTCTGTTGCGCTGGTCTGAGTGGATCAGACACAGCAGTGCTGCTGGAGTTTTTAAACACCTCAGTGTCACTGCTGGACTGAGAATAGTCCACCAACCAAAAATATCTAGCCAACAGCGTCCTGTGGGCAGCGACCAACACAAACTGTGCAGCAGCAGATGAGCCATCATCTCTGGCTATACATCTACAAGGTGGACTGACAAGGTAGGAGTGTCTTGTGTTTAAAAACTTGAGCAGCACTGCTGTCTGATCCACTCATCCCAGCACAACACACACTAACATGCACACTCCTATTTCATCATTATTGCCAAAAAAATGGAAGACACTGATCATGTTGGCTAGCACTGTTTATTTTGTCTTACAATGCCCTGTACATACCGCTCCACTATGAATGCTGTTAAAAAAGTTTTAGGCCGAAGCCTTATCTCAAAGCTAACGTACAATGTCTAAAGCATCAGACAGCATATTCATAACCATTCTGTGTAATAGCATTCTTTGAGGTAGCTTTTAAAGGCATTAAAAGCTTTTGCTGTCTGGTCAACATCACCACCACTGTGAACAATTCTGACTGGGCAAGTTTCTCTAGATCAGAGCATTTCACATCAGTTCACTCTGAAAGACTGTTCACATCTTAATGATTTGATTATGCTGATTTTTTTTAAAAACTCTGTGGAATTCCCCTTTAAGACATTATCGGACAGTTTTCCAGACAGAAATTAAGCCCCAGTATATTTTCCTTTGGACAATCAGAAATCAAAATGCTGTGTAGTCTAGGAAGTGGCCTAATTCTTGCCCAGGAAACTGGCCCCATGAGTCAGTTTCCATACAAAGATAAAGCCTTGAATGAAAACTGTACAATGAAAGTAAAATGTAGTAGAGGACTAGACTTAATACCTGTCTGGGAAACCAGCCCAAAAACACAAAATGTAAACTGTCTGATTTTGTCATATTTCATCTTATTTTCTCCTGTTTTGTTGTGAAAATATATTTCATTCTTAGTCCAGGCTTTACACATCCTAGCAGGATATAGTTATTTCAGCAGACACACACACAAAAAAAATGACACAACAAATGCATTATTTGTAAAATACATTTAATCCCTAAGTATTTGGGCAACAAAACCGAACCAAAAACTATAACTGGTGAGTCAGAGCAGAGATTTGAGTAAGAGTTGTCAGGTTGGGTCCTGCTGAATAGAAAAGCAAGGTCTTTAAATGCAAAAGAGCATTATGAATCCATAGTTTCAGTTCATGTAATTCACAACTGTTACTGGGGATCCAAAAAGACTGGCACGCTTTAACTGAAATCTCTGCTCATCCTTTCTCTTATTTTGACAAAGTACCAGGAAAAAAAAAAGATATCACAATAAAAGGCATACATTGCCTTTACATAGTCATTAGTACAATAATATATAGCTGTACATATTACAAGACACTTTTCAGCATATCAGCATAGGCATTATGTGTTAACAAGACAGAGGTTGCAGATTGCATTTAGGAAAACACAAAATGTGTGGTGTGTGCATGTGTTGGTTTAAGTGAGATGTGGTCAATTGAATTGTCAACTGAGTGCATGATCATCAAATAGTGAATACCATTTAGGTGCATTTTCCCCAAAGTGATACTGGAAGAGTTTCCCAAAAACAACGAAGAGTTAAGATCACCAGCTAACAAAAGTGGCTTTTATAGTGTTGATGCTATCATGCTCTTGGGAAACTAAGCCAATAAATGTCATTTGGGTGACACCTAGTGGACAGCAGAGGTATTACAGCAGCTGCCGCCACCAGGAGTGGCAGTGAGGTTTTGAGTCAGAGCTCGTCAAAACATCTTCCGATCCTGAATGAACTACAGCAGTGGTCACCAACCACTAGACCATTTCCAAAGGACTCTACTGTCAACACATCATACGCACACTCACACATCAGAGCCTTACAGTATTCTCAGTAGAGTGATTTGTGACACATTACAGCTATGACATTACATTGTCAAGCAACTCCTAGCATTAGATTTGGTAAAGAAGCATCATTATCAGGATTTTGAAAAAAAAGAAAACAAAAAAACAAAACAAAAACAAAAAAACATAATAATAAAAAAAAACTATCACCTTTCATTTTTTTTCTAAAGCATAGCATTCCAGCGAATGGCTAGAGAAGATAGTGTACGATATACGAGTAGGAAATTCCACTAGGAATCAACAGGACATTCTAAATATGCAGTCTTGAGTTTTTTACGGGTTAGAACATTCGGTCAATAAGGCTGGGAGGTGTGTATAAGACCTTGCTATGGCTTGGGTTAGTCAGAGCGTGGGGATGGCCTGCGTTCAGAAGGCAGGGGAAAGCTAAGCATGGGATTCTGCAGGTTTCCAACCACCCTCTGTGAAGAGCATGCAGGGAAATATCGGTAAGGGAGCATTAGAGGACATGTAAAGACTTCCTTTCATCTAAAAGACTCCATTCATTAGTGAAGATCTCAGAACATGGGCATGCTTGCAATGGCTATGGGGCTGGCAGGTGGCTGGCCCATATCAGATGGCCCAGAGGAAGCCAAGGCTACACTGCATTAAGTACTGAGGCTAACACCAAGGTACGAGCAAGACATTTTCATTTCCAGTATGTTTCATGTTCTGACCTTCTTTCTCTTTTTCTTGCTAACACTGGTTCTCAGTGATAGACTTCAAACAGACAAGCGTATATTTGGAAAAGGAGGTCTCTTTAGTACAATATCCATGCTGGAAAGTCATATAGGGCTGCAAATATATACAGTTTTTTTTTTTTTTTACATATACATATGAAAAGAATAAAAGAAACTGCAATAGTAATACACCTAACTGTTAATACAGGAAGACTACAGAAATCAGGATAGGATTTACATATCCAATGAGTTTATAATAGTGTGGGTGCACGTGTGTGTATATATATATATATATATATATATATATATATATATATATATATATATATATATATATATATATATATGTATGTGTGTGTGTGTGCATGCAATTACTGACTGTCACCATCTGCCATTGTGTACGTGGTCAAGGTTGCCATTAAGTAGCTGGCAATGAGAGAACACAGCCTACACAACTGCAGATGGGGACATTTATAATCTGGATCACGGTATCATAGCAACAAAACACACTAGGGAAATAAAATCATATTTGTTCCATAAAACAAACTGACTACATTAGGAAAATTATGGTAGATACAAAATTAAATCAGGAGTATAGCTTCCCTTCACTTCATTGGCTGGTGTCTTCAGACGCCACACCCCCACCGCCCCTTCTGCCCCACGCGCTTTCAATACACAGGGCTGTTTCGGATTCCGCAGCAGAGCACCATGCTGAAGATCATCTCAAAGATCTTTCAGAAGAGAACAAAAGACAAAACATTATTAGCATAGAGAAAAAAGTGGAGGGAAAACGAAGTATAGTTCACAGACACGAACACACAGAACACTGATTGTAGACAAGGTAAATGTATCTAATAAAGTGGCCAGAGTCAATTTTATCAGCACCACTTACCACATATCTGCTTTTCGTAGTTCAACAATTACAGATTGTAGTCCATCTGTTTCTGTGCATAATTTGTTTTACCCCCAAAAGACCATCACTGAGCAGGTATTATTCGAGTGGTGACCCTTCTCAGCACTGCAGTGCTGCTAGAAACACTGTACACTTACTGTCCACTCTTTCAGACGCATCTACCTTGCTAGTCCACCTTGAAGAGCCAGCAGCTCATCTGTTGCTCATAGTTCGTCAGTGGTCACAGGATGCTGCCCACAATTTCTATTTATTTGTTTCCCAATAAGTTAAATGCAGGAAACACATGCTCTCTGCAGACTATGTGTTAACTTAAATTCATTTATTTTGAGAACATAAAAAGCTTTTGCATACAACTGTATGATAACACATTCTGATAAACGGACAATGAGCATAAACACAAGGCATTTATACCAATTAAAGTGACCAGTAAGTGTTTATTTTTGGTTAATTTAAAGGACAAAAAAGGTACAGGTTAAACTGTTAGCCCCAGAGAACTAAAATCCAACCATCCATCCATCCATCATCTAAACCGCTTATCCTTCTGGGTCGCGGTGGGGTGCTGGAGCCTATCCCAGCTGTCATCGGGTGGAAGGCAGGATACACCCTGGACAGGTCGCCAGTCCATCGCAGGTACTGCAACTAAAATCCATTGCTTTCTAATTATTTTATTGTTTATCTTTTGGATACACAATATGCATGTTCAAAAGAAGCCCTATAAAAATCTTTCCAACGTTTGCATGTACTTCCCCAGAATTTCTTTCCTTTCAATGAGAAGTGGATGGTCCTAATCTCAAAAATTACAAGGCTGATGTCTCTTGCTCCTCCCACATCTGTTATCAAAACCATAAATTCCTAACAACTGGAAGCCAGCTAGCAAGCAAAAGCTAACCTAGAAAGTACTGTGTACTGTGACACTTTCATCACCACTCGTAAATGCGAGCTATTCAGCAGCAGAAGTACGGTCTCATTCACAAAAGGAAGGCAGCATGAGCAGAATAAGAGTCTTCACAAGAGAGGTGCCAACCACCAGTGTTAATCAGAGTATTAGGGCCCTGCCACATCAAACTGACTGCCGGCCTTCAAAGCTCGTTGTGGTTTACTTTCACAGTTTTTCCAGAGTGCAAATTTTCACTGTCAGCCTTTGTTGATGCTAGTTCCTCCTCATCAGCTTGGTGTGTCTGGGCCCTTTTGACACACCTATGCGGTTCTCAGCCAGCTCTGCTCAGCAAATTTAGCTGGTTCTTGAAAAAGAAACATGTTTCTATCTTGTTTCGTCATCTTTACATAGAGAGCCACCGCATCTTTTCGAACTGCCGCTCTCGCAATGTCATTGGACAGCCGAACATGGAGGAAAGCAGCAATCACCAGATCTGTTATGTCAGCTAAAAGACGCCTGGTCTGACTAGCAATACTTTTTTTTTTTTGGAGTGAGTGAAGGTGCGTCCTACGCAGTCAATTTTGGTATCATAATGAAATGTTCAAAAAACCCAAAACCATAAACAGCATGTTTCTTTTTTGCCATTTTCCCCACAATTTAGTCATGTCCATTTCTACCCACTAGCTAGGTCTCCCGCAGTCACAGGATACTACCAGTACCACTAGGGTGAAGGCTAGCATGTGTTTCCTCTGAGTCATGTGAAGCCTCTGCATCTTTTCCAGCTGCCACCAACGCAACATTATGGGACAGTTCAACACACGTGGTGAACACTGACTGCCAAATCTGTTACGTCAGCTTACAGACGTGACTTGCATCACACTGAAGGGAAAGGGAAGAACATTATTCCCACCCAGACAGAGTGAGATTCCTGGACACGGATGGCTGTGGTATCACCAGGGACTGAACTCGTGATGTCGTGATTGGTATGTTTCAAAACAATGTTCACATACGCCAAGCGTTTTTATTTAAAGAAAGAAAGAAAAGTACAAAAAATTTAGATTTCCATTATATGGACCCTTCAATATTCTTACTATATTTCCTGGCTAAACTCTATTGCAAAGGAACCCACTTTATTATGAGCCTGTAATGCACAATCAAATCATTCACTTACCATGATGACAGCAACAACCAAGGCAGCGATGCCAATCAGGTAGATCTTCTCATTGAAGAGTGTTTTGATTTGGGTGTGACAGTTCTGTGAAGGAGCAAAAACACAGATATGAACACCTCAGTCAATGTCTGTCACAAGAGTGTTCCCTGAAACCTAAACAGTACATCAAACAATACAACAAAAATGTCTTTTTTTGTGATCAATTTTAATTTTTCATTTAAAGAAATGCCAAACAATCCACCCTTCCCATCCTCCAGCATAAGCACATTAAGCAAGCAAAAGCCACTTCACTTTGATTATTCAACACAAAAAAAGTCATTCCTAATGATAATGACCATATGCCAGTAAGCAAATCATTTATGCCCACTCTGTTACAGTATCAGTTCAATATACTGACCAGAAAGTCATTTAAGATATGAACCTGAAATACATGTTTCCCACCATCATACACAAAATACAAAAAGTACCAAATTTTGCCAGTTTGAGAAAGGCCTGAATTCTGAACTGGGAATCACCGATAAGACATATGGAAGGCTTACAGGATGAAAATCCAGAAGATGATCCTTTTTAGGGCATAGACTGGTCATCCAGCTAGTCAAAAGTGCGGTGCTTCCATCCTTGCCACAGCATTGTAGCTGAAAGACACAGAATGCACATTTTATATAGGTGGAGATTAAGGTTGAAAGAAAGAAAGAAAGAAAACAACAACATTAAAAGTGAGGAAACGGAATAAGAAGAGGGTCATCAGTCACATCACAGGTTGGAGTGTAAAGCAACAATGTGGGGTCTTTTTGACGTGAGATCACAGTTAACTCGCTATCTAAAAGGTAAGATTTTCTAATACAAAAAACTTGGAAATCTTACTTCTTGACTTTTTTTGCTTACAACCAATTAATGTTATAAACTAACTTCTACCTTAAATATGTATAATAAAATAATAATAAAAACATTTTTAAAGCCATTTATAAGGTGCACTTACAGTTTCATGGAAGACCTTCAGCACAGCATCTGTAGCCTGCTTCTTCTCCTCATTGAGAGTCCCTACAGCACCTTTGTCATACACAGAGTCGTAGAAGCTGATCAGTTCTCTAGAAATCTGAAATAAACAGAATCACAGCTCAGAGGAGCACTGAAGTGACTGTGCAAAGTGCAGCCGGGTCTGTCGGTTGAGTCCGCAAGCTCCTGCATATGTGCCTAGTACCACTGGCATAAAGACACTGTGTGGAACGGACACGTATGTATCTGTGCTTGTTAAAGCAGTAAGTTTGTTAATGGGTCCACTTTATGTATATGGGTATAACTTCCCTCACCTTTTTAAATAAAGGAGTTTGAAACAGTATGTAAATATTGTTAAAGTTTCATGTACCATCCACTCCCCTGGCTGTACCGTCCATACATTAAAACTAAGCTGCAAAAACAGCCTGTTATAATTCATTATTTCTCTGACGTCATAAAAACCAATTCAATTAGATTACAGTCATATGCAAAGGTTTGGGCACCACTGGTCAAATTACATGTGTAGTTGATTTTCTTCTCTAAGTGAAAATAAAGTACATATCCTCTAGAGTAAACACACTTGTGTACATGCAGTTTAGCCCCGCTCACTCACATTAAAGTTCTAAAGAAGTGTTTCAGCTCTGAGTGCTTTTCGAATGAGGCACAACACGGGGCAGCCAATCAGAACTGGTCATTTACATATATCAGTCATAAAGGCAGAGTTTAAAAAAAAAAAAAAATAGCCTGTTTCAATTTTAAGGAATAAAGAGACGTCATGTTAATATCATCGATATGTTTAAATACACAAATGTTTAGTAAATTTAGTTTATGATTAATACAATAAACAATTCTTCCACCAAGGAACGTAGTCTGTCAACAGTACGCTATGGCTCACTCATCATTCCGGATAGGAAACATAATGGCAATATTTGGGTTGTAGATATTGTGACCCCTGGTTCCAATCTGAGTTGGTTAGTTTTTCTATAATGAACCAACTCACATCAAGCCACTTTCAATGACCTATTTATTTAAAATACAATGATTGAATTATGTATAAATAAATAGGAACTCCCCTCTCATTTTATAAAAAATGTGGCACATTAATACAGAATTATGGACTCGTCATGTGTGTCTATGGAGTATTTTACAATTGCTTCGAACCAGGCTCAGCCAATCAAATTTTAGAACCAGAACTGTTTTTTATAGAATGCGGTTCACCGTGTTTATATGTGAGTGAGCAAGTCTGTGTTTCCTCCTCACCTTGTCTTTGTGGATAAATCCCCAGATACCAGCAGCAACCTCACAGGCGAACAGGATGACCAGGCAAGCGAAGAACTAGGCAAGGAAGAGAAGTCGTTGATAAATGACTCACAAACGTGCGCCTTTGCTTTTTTAATGTGAAAAACGCTTTGTAATTTAACATGCTGGGTTTTATTTAAACATCAAATCAAGAATTGTGCAAAGTGAAGGTTCAATTAGGCTCGTCACAATTACTACAAAATCGCCTGATGCCATTATGTGAGCTGATCACAAATGTTGAAGCTGGCCACTATAGCTATAGCTACCACAATCATATATGTTTACATCACAACAAACATGTTTTCATCAACTGGACTGGGACAAATTTATGTACTTGAAAGAAAGCAGAAAAAAATGCATTATTGAGACACCCGATGGGTCTTTTCAAAACAACAAAACTTCTAACCTACGACTATTCGCTATAACACCTTTAGAGGGCAGTGGTGCACAATGATTGAGCTTGTGCCAATCAGTCCACATTATGCTTGTACTTTAATAATCGCATTAAAAAAACGTCGGGATGAATGATATCAGAATCACATCAGTATGGGCAGATAAACAAATATTTTATCAGACAGATGTTTACATTTGAACAATCTTTTAAACTGATATTTGACATATTTATTTTGTTCCAAAAGAGCAGAATGTTCAGGTGATGTTGGATTTCTGTGCTATCAGTTTCATTAATCTTACTTCATTTGTAACCCTCTACAGTCAAATCTTATATCCTCTGTGATGCAAATCTAGGTAGACGTAGTCCCAAATTATACATTTCAAAAATATTTATGTATCAGCAGTTTTGTACAAGAAAAATGTCGGATATGGGCATTGGCCCATAGTTCTCACATCAGTGTATTCCTAAAAAAAGCTAAATTGTTTACTGTAATTATTTATATTTCAATTAACTGTCAGCTAAAACGTGATGATTAAGACAGACTTAGTTCAAAATAACTCGGCATTCTGCAATCGTCAAAAGTCTTACATTGTAAAACATGGGAGACACTGAGATGACTAAGCAAATTTGCTGTGCTCTGATTGGACGAGTGACTCACAGTTCCGAGCAGGCACTGAGATTCCTGGATGGCACCATAGCAACCGAGGAACCCAACAAACATCATCACAGCACCAACTGCTATCAGGATGTAGACACCTAAGGGGAGGTGGGGGTGGGAGGGGGAAAAACACAGTAAATGTGACTCACCAATTCAAAATATTTGTTGTAATATCAAAATCTCATAATTCCATATTTTTTTTTCCACCATTGCTTTTAATTTGTTCACATCATTAATCTTCTCCTATAAATTCAGCATTTTGGATATATGCAAGGTTTTATTATTATTATTATTATTATTATTATTATTATTATTATTATTATTATTCTATAAATCTTTATCCTTTTTCTGGCCCAAAGACACACATAATCTCTCAGAAGAATATGATGATCTAATAAAGCATGGACAGTGTAGTACTCCATTGCAGCCACCAGGTGTCAGTGTTTGAGCAATTTTTATTTTCACAATGGTAATTCTCTATAAAGTAAGATGAGAGGAAAACTCCTGGTTTGGTAAGCATATTAACCTTACCACGCTTCACTTTCCATTCTCTCACCTATCAAAAATAAAAAAAATCCTTGGATTGCACTAGTCATCTTTATGTAACAAGTGACTTGTTCGTCAGAGAAAAGGCAGCAGATGTGTGGTAGCTATGGAAAAAAACGAAAGTGCCAAAGGAAAGGACGTGAAGGGGAACAGAACAAAAAAAAAAACCAAAAAAACCACAAGAAAACCCCATCAAATTAAAGCTCCCCTCCCAACATCTCCTCGCCTGTTTACATCTTGCAGAGGCCCTGACTGGCCCACTGCTGTAACCATGGTAACCGTGCCAGGGCAGAGGCCTTGTTGAGCAGGGGAGGGAGGGAGGGAGAGACAGAGACAGAGACAGAGAGAGAGAGAGAGAGAGAGAGAGAGAGAGAGAGAGAGAGAAAGAGGGAGAGAGAGAGAGAGAGAGAGAGAGAGAGAGAAAAAGAGAGAGAGAGAGAGAGAGAGGAGAAATAATGCAAAACCCTCATAACAACACAACAACGCCAAAAAAAGATCCACCACATGCATGTGACTCAGTTTGGGCTAAAAAAGACCCAAGGGAATGTGAATGGTTTCCTCTACATAAACCAATCAAGCCCTGCACTGCTTTATTTCCATCGTGAACACAACTCCCTACCCTAACAACTTTTGAAAACAGAATCCAAGCTGTCACTATGACTACACTCTTTATAAGGGTCCTACGTTGTCATTTTACTGTTCTGTATCCGCAAAATCATGCAAGAACAATCTAAACTTTAGACTGAGGCTCAATCAACATTCAGAGCTGGACAAAAGCAAAGCTAAGCAGCTTGTAATTCAATTTCTACAATGAATGGGCCAATAGAAATGGTGTACAATTACATGAAATAAAATCTTGTTACATTACATCTTAATATACATTTCCTTGTGCAACAAAATTGCCATTTCAGAGATTTTTACGCTATTGGGAAACGCCAGATGCCCTTTCCATTTTGCAAACATTTCATGACAAATAGCCCAGAATTACTTGTAAAAAAAAAAAATCATTTCACATTAACGTACAATAATTTTTCCTGTCAGAAGATTACAGGATCATTTGTTTTATTTCTAAAAATATTTGTCGTGTTTCAAGTCATTTTATCTAATGAAACCTATTCTGTTGAAAAAAGCAACGTGTGCCTTGTGTCATTAAACCAGCAAATTCATCTGCCAATAGGATAAGAACAATGGGCCTCATTTACCAACCGTTCTTAAGAAGAAATTTCTTAAAATCCACTTATGCAGTTTTCATGAAGATTCTGACATTCACCAATGTTTTCTTATTTTGAATTTGCTCTTAGCTAAGAACAGAATGTACACACACACACACACACACACACACACACTAACACAAAGTTGTGAACAACTCTGGTTTAAGAACACATCATGAATCTGATGTAGTCTTTTTCTTAGGACCTTTCTCAAGAACACATTTAAGAAAGCAGGATTATGGTGAAGGAGGCCCAATTTCTCCACACTGCATTACTTAAAACAAATAAAAAGTTGAGAAATAAGTTAATCTTGTAATATTTGTACAACAATCTTACATTCAGAAATACTAAACATATCGCCGAGATTTAAGATGTTTTCACTTGCCAGAACATTTTTTGCAGTCTACATACTGAAAGTGCTCATCCTAAACTAGGCTATTGATGTTCTAGCACTTCAGCAATATCTGCAAAATAAATCAGCTCATAATGGAAGCATGAAGTGTTTAGGCTGACAACTGCTCTTTGTCTCCACATCATGTTTCTACCACTCCCCTAATCTCATACCCCCATATGTAACTCATACAGCTTCAGATTACAAGAGAAAGTAATGCGGTGGAATACATGATGCATGTTGAGACACTCTCCCTTATCAGTGTCATTTTCTCGTGTCAATTTATTCCTCTCATCTTTGTTTTTCTTTTCTTTGCTCTTTTTACTTTCAGTCTCTCTCTCCTCTTTGGCGTCTAATCCATCACCGACTGTCATCCCTGCCTGTGCAAATGTCTGTATCTCGTCTCTGCTAACAGTAATTCATCTCCCGAGGTTAATTCGATTCTGGCTCTCTGGAGCATCTGGGTTTGAAAAGGTCCTGAAACGTCCCGCTGATGTTCGCTGGCTCTCCCGGCAGCACGGGAGGGTCTTTAGAAATCGATGGTGGGGTCTGGAGATTGTGCGAGTTTAATTGTGGCGGCTATTGGGCCCAGAGGACAGAAATGGGCAAGCGCAGCCGTGACTGGCATACTGATCAACTGGACAATGCAGGCCAGTTACTTTCACACTCTCTCTCTCTCTCTCCATCAGTTTCACTTTGGCTGCTCCTGATCTCTCTCACTCTCTCTCAGTTTCTCCCTGCCTGCTCTTGTTCATTCTCTCTCAATCGTTGCCACGCATTCAACTGAGCTACAATCTCCCATTTATGTCCACATCAGACTGCTCTCAAAGCAAGAAGCTCGCCATTGACTTGCACTCATGCTCCGTCCCAATTCTATAAGGCTCTGGTTAACTATTAGCCTGTGCCAGAGGAGGGTCGTAACGAGGTACATTTACTTAGTTACATGTAATCAAGTCAAATACTGATGAATTGGTATTTTCCTGAGTGTACATGCGCGATTAAAAGGTTGGAATCACTTGTTATATTAGGAATCCAATAAAACAAACGCAATAAAAGGTTAAGAAATAACAGAATCAAGTCATACAACATAGATTTAAATCTTATAAACTGGACACTGAAAGGTATTTTAGGATATTTTACGTGTATCGTAATTATATATTTACAGTTATGTATCTCAAGATTTGATCACTAATTTTCAAATCCGAGGCAATCTAGATGCTAAATTAACAACCCTGTTTTTAAATAAAATTGAAAACAGAATGCAATGATGTGCAAATCATTTAATTCTTAAGTTGACTTGAAAACAGTACAAACATAAATGTTGAAACTGAGAAATTTGATATTTTGAAAAATATATGCTCATTTTGAATTCGATGCCAGCAACATTTCAAAAAAGTTGGGACAGTGTCATGTTTACTACTGTGTTGCACCACCTCTTCTTTAAACAACACTCTGTAAGCATTTTTAAAAGGAGACCAGTTACTTTAGTTTTGAAAGTGAAATGTTTTTCCATTCTTGCTTGATATAGGATTTCAGCTGCTCAACAGCAGTTTGGAGTCTGCACTTTTGCATTTGTTGTTTCATAATGAGCCAAATGATGTCAATGGTGACAGGTCTGGACTGCAGGTAGGCCAGTTTAGCACCCAGACTCTATATTAGAAAAGCCATGCTGTTGTAATGCGTGCAGAATATGGTCTGGCATTGTCTTGCTGAAATAAGCAAGCCCTGCCCTGAAAAAGACGTCATCTGGATGGCAGCATATGTTGCTCCAAAACCTGTATATATCGTTCAACATTAATGGTGCCTTCACAGTGTGCATTTCTAGATGTAGAAACGAACTGCATTCACAGACAGTGGTTTACAGCATCTAAAACTTATATATTTTTTATATTTTCCTATTTCTTGCTAATTATTTGCAAATGATCAAGTTGCAAAAGACTATCAAACCACTTTGGCCTCAGATGTTACTCAAAATTCCAAACTGATTAGTTGATGCAAAAAGTTTGAACTTTAATTTGAACATTTTGAAAAAGGATTGGAAAATATTAAACATTTTGAAGATTTTGGACTCTGAATAGCACAGAAAGAAGTTCTGCTGCAGAAACCTTTTCACATCCACTTCTTATCTTTTTTTTTGTTTGTTTGTTTTTTTTTTGAAGGCAACTTTAACCCAGTAAAAAGGAGACCTGCAAATTAGTAAAATGCACAACAACAGAATTCAGGTGCATCCTGCACTGGGGATGTGTTTATAATGCAAAACAGTTGCGCGTATGCAGTGATGCCCAGCCCCCTGTCCTTGCAAAGTCTGTGTTTGTGTTGGAATTGAGGGGGGTTGGGGGGTTAAGACTTAATGTGTTAAGGCAAAGGAAGTTCTCATGCCAAATGCAGGTGCTATTCTCATTTAATTCAGGGAGCAGATGCTGGACCTAAGCATTAGCGCGAGAGAGAGAGAGAGACAGAGAGAGAGAGAGAGAGAGAGAGAGAGAAAATATATCTTACTGATTAACAAGTCACACATTACAGCATTGCTACATTAGTCAGCAAGAGAGAGAGAGAGAGAGAGAGAGAGAGAGAGAGAGAGAGAGGGAGGGAGAAGGAGGTAGAAGCAGGGCGTGGCACATAGTGGGAAGGCTAGAAGAAAACAAAGTATGGAAAAAAAAGGAGACTAATGAAATAAACCCCCCCAAGAACCATTACTGCTGAAGAGACCAGGACAGTGTGACATGAAAATAAAGGCATAAAAAAAGAAAACAGAAGGAACGGGGAGCATGCAAAGGAATGAGAATGAGGTACTGAAAAAGGGAAAAGAGAGTGCAGAGAAAGTGTGCGAGCAAGAGAGAGACAGAGCAAGAGAGAACAAAAGTAGACAGCACACAGACTTTAAACACAAACAGATGGGCTGGAGCTGAACCTCAGTGGAAAGTAATGTGAAGCAGAGAGAGAGAGAGAG